GAAGGATTAGGGAAGGGTTAGGGAAGGGTTAGGGAAGGATTAGGGAAGGATTAGGGAAGGGATAGGGAAGGGTTAGGGAAGGATTAGGGAAGGGTCAGTGAAGGATTAGGGAAGGGTTAGGGAAAGATTAGGGAAGGATTAGGAAAGGGTTGCGGAAGGGTTAAGGAAAGATTAGGGAAGGGTTAAGGAAGGGTTAGGGAAGGGTTAAGGAAGGATTAGGAAGGGTCAATAACAACAATAATAATAATAAAAATAATAATTATTATTATTATTAGTATTATTATTTATTCAGTTATTTATTAAGAGCGGTATGGCACTGTGGTGGAGAGGTGAAGAGCAGTATGGCACTGTGGTGGAGAGGTGAAGAGCGGTATGGCACTGTGGTGGAGAGGTGAAGAGCAGTATGGCACTGTGGTGGAGAGATAAAGAGCAGTATGGCACTGTGGTGGAGAGGTGAAGAGAAGGATGGGTGACATGAATGCTTTCTATTGGCTGTCCACTGGTGAGGTCCTCTCAGGACCTGAAGACTACAGTGGTGAAGAGTGAGGTGACCAGACAGTGATGGGCACAGACTGCAGCGCTGAATCACCGGTGGTCTCCACACCCACAAGCGGACATGTACCAGCATACTCAGGGGAGTTTAATGCTTTAGAATGACAGTAGTAGTGAGGATTGGGGGGGGAGGGGTGACAAAATTTATTTGGAGATGGGCTTTAAAGTTATGGTTATGTACAGTAGACCAAAAAGCCATTTACAAAAATAAGTGTGGAGAAGGGTGAAGGTTCTGGGTCCTCCAGTCCTCACTTCCTTCCTCTCATGGGGTTGTATATATCATGTCACACTTCATACACGTCAGCAATTGTAAGCCTCTGGCTATCATGGTGCATGTCAATTTCATACCTGAGCTAAGCTCGCCTGAGGGGCCATTACTCATTTAGGGGAAGCTGGACTTTACTCATTCTGTAAAAACTCAGATCTTCTGTGAACGGGGGGACCTTGTGAATCCCTCACTGCCTATCACAATGCAGAGCGACCAATCATCAGGTCCGAGTGATGTCAGATGACGGCAGGCCCCTACGACTATGTAAACTCTGATCCAGACCCAACTCAGAGCTTATGAATAGATTTTGGAGATGGCCAAACCGGTGGATGGGGTAAAGGGAGAACACATGAAAAGTGCGTACAGTTTACCCCAATGGACAAAGAAGAGGAAGGCTGTAAACCCCACACCCTTTTTATTGCAATGATGTAGCAAAACTCCGCCATTACACAAATAAAGTGCTCCTGGGGAAATCGGGGCTCCTACTTCTTGTGAGTAGGAACACCTCATCTACCCCAATGAGTCTTGGAACAGTCCAATGAAGACATTTCAGGCAATAGGTTGAGATGACCAGAAACATTAAAAATGATTGTCCACTAAGTGTCTCTTTGGTTTCCTGGTAACGTATTCTTCTGAACATCGGTTGAACCCGCAGACGCGATCCGTCCACTCTGTAAAATATTTTTGGTATGACAGAGAATGGTTGGGAAAGAAAATGGCAGCCAGCAGTATAATTGCACTTCTTATAATTCGCAGAGGTCATGTCAATTGTACAATCCTTTCCGTTAGGCAGCAGCATGAAAGCGGCCAGGAGCAAGGACAGCCGGCAAAGTGACTGGAGAGCGGCCAACACTCTTCCAAACCCAACGATTTCATCTAACCAGCTTATTCCGTCTCTAGGTACGACAAACCCTCACAACCATACATGACACCAGAAGCCCACCCAGATACCTCCTAGGGTCAATGGAATGCAAACTGTAATCAATATCTAATGCAGAAAAGTGCGAGAAGCCCGATATATATATAAAAGGTGCTCACCGCTCCCTGGATAGGATGCCATATTATTCCCTAATATAAAAGGTCAGCTTGCCAAGTCATCTATACATATTGTGTTACAGAACAGTGTTTGGTATTCACATTTCGGTGCTTGAAGCCGTTCACATCTCTCAATGACATTCAAGAGGAAACTTTCATTACAATGTTCTCCCAGCAGAGGGATAGAAGAGATAAAATGGTGGAACAAGATATTAAAACGATCTTGATTTCCATAGCTTAGTCATTGGCCTACGTTGCGTCGTTGACGTAATATTGGTGCATCTGACAGAACCGATCCCATCTGAAGCAACATTGATTGTGAGCGAGGTTTTGGTCCAGATGGAGTTGAAGAGCTTAGGTCGGATTTCTTTTTCTGATTATCAGCCGTAGAATTTCATTCTTGTTCAGCCGGTAGAACCTGAAATCCACTGAAAGACTGCCAAAAGGCGTTGGTTGGTTGATATCTTAACCCGGCTTCTGATAATCTCTCCGAGATATTGCGCAATGATTGTTGTCGCAGAGAAGGGGGCACTGCTCACAGTTCGGCATCTGCCTGCTCAACATTCGAGAGTCTTGGTACGTGTGGAGAAAACCCACCATCACGTGGGGGGGTCCAGAAAGACCTGAAAGATGCTGATTTTGAAGCCGTTTAGATTTTTACAGTTGCCTGTTTCTCATTCAGCTTGTGGATTTCCGGGTCCTTTTCTGCTTCTTGGTGGACGTTGTCTTTGTGACGTATTACAAAGAAAGCGGCGATGAAGAAGATCAAAGCTAAGATCTCAAAGAGAAGCTGGAGTCCAATGTACCTAGAGAGAGGAGATGAGAGAGGACGGTGAGGTCAGAGAAGTGAAATAGGTAACAATGAAATACTTTAGTCTTATGGAACGCAACAGGACTGAACTAACCCAACGTTGAATACTGGATTCCCATCACTTCCTTTCTCAATGACAATGGTCACTGGGACAAACAGAGAGAGTGAATCTCCCCAGAGAGGACACAGACAGCAATAAACACCTGACATGAGCTCCAAACCCTTTTATCCAAAACTATAAAAAGTTCTCCTCACTTACACTGCAATCAATAGACTGAAAAGAACGGATCCCGGCATGGGCTCCTGGGGTGCACTCCGGACATGTTCCCCCTTCATCTTTTCTCATATATAGACACAAGCGTGAGGCACTTTCTCTGCCTGTCATTGAATGCCGGCTAAAGGTATTTTTCTAGAAAATCAAATGTTTTCCAGGACCCGAATGTGGAGCACTTCCCCCTCACCACAGTCCTTGCCTTCCATTATTCTATCAGAAGCCTGCAGGATGTCAATTAAATTCTATACAAGAAAAATATTGTATCTATAAAAAAAATGTATCATATTAATGGCTAGAAAAAAAGGCGGACAGTGAAAATCAAATGGGTGGTCAATGGAGAAGGGTTCCCTTCACATTGGTGGTGAGTGGTGAAAGCGCCCCCTTGAATCCCTTCTAACCTCTTCCCATTGGTGTTCATCAGGAAGATCTCCCTAAAATTGGGGGTCAGTGGGAAGAATGCTCCTTACATTGGTAGTCAGTGGGAAGAATGCTCCTTACATTGGGGGTCAGAGGGAAGAATTCTCCTTACATTGGTGGTCAGTGGGTAGAATGCTCCTTACATTGGGGGTCAGGGGGAAGAATGCTCCTTACATTGGTGGTCAGTGGGAAGAATGCTCCTTACATTGGGGGTCAGGAGGAAGAATGCTCCTTACATTGGTGGTCAGTGGGAGAATGCCCCTTACATTGGGGGTCAGAGGGAAGAATTCTCCTTACATTGGTGGTCAGAGGGAAGAATGCTCCTTACATTGGGGATCAGTGGGAAGAATGCTCCTTACATTGGGGGTCAGTGAGAAGAATGCTCCTTACATTGGTGGTCAGGGGGAAGAATGCTCCTTACATTGGGGGTCAGTGAGAAGAATGCTCCTTACATTGGGGGTCAGGGGGAAGAATGCTCCTTACATTGGTGGTCAGTGGGAAGAATGCTCCTTACATTGGGGGTCAGGAGGAAGAATGCTCCTTACATTGGTGGTCAGTGGGAGAATGCCCCTTACATTGGGGGTCAGAGGGAAGAATTCTCCTTACATTGGTGGTCAGAGGGAAGAATGCTCCTTACATTGGGGATCAGTGGGAAGAATGCTCCTTACATTGGGGGTCAGTGAGAAGAATGCTCCTTACATTGGTGGTCAGGGGGAAGAATGCTCCTTACATTGGGGGTCAGTGAGAAGAATGCTCCTTACATTGGGGGTCAGGGGGAAGAATGCTCCTTACATTGGTGGTCAGTGGAAGAATGCTCCTTACATTGGGGGTCAGTGAGAAGAATGCTCCTTACATTGGGGGTCAGTGAGAAGAATGCTCCTTACATTGGTGGTCAGGGGGAAGAATGCTCCTTACATTGGGGGTCAGTGAGAAGAATGCTCCTTACATTGGTGGTCAGTGGGAAGAATGTCCCTTACATTGGGGGTCAGTGGGAAGAATGCTCCTTACATTGGGGGTCAGTGGGAAGAATGCTCCTTACATTGGTGGCCAGTGGGAAGAATGTCCCTTACATTGGTGGTCAGTGGGAAGAATGCTCCTTCCCGGAACAGAACAGGTCACTCACCTTTGTCTCAGCAGATCGTTATTGTAGTACTGACAGGCTGCCTTTGAACCGCACTTCTTCCCCCATTGGATGCAGGTGCTGTCAATCATTCTGCCATACATCACGGGGCCCGGCAGCCAGGCTAGAAGGCAAAGAGAGACTTGGCTTAGCTATAAAGGAAATCATTGTTTGATGGCTACAATGTCACAGAACACCTCCCTGGGATAGTACAGCTCTGTCTTATGCTTGTCTGGCAATGACCCCCCTGGGAGCTGCTCTCCTGCTTTCTCTACTGGTAACCCAGACACACACTGACCCACTAACAGTGAAAGACATATAGACATCCGATCCTTCAATCCTTGCATTTTATTAGCTCAAATGTCTTAGGGAGACAGCGTTAGTAGTACAGGATACCCCCAAAACAGCAGCAAAAAGTTATTTCTGCTCACTAGACTCCTCAGAGTACTCTTTAGGCCCAGTCCAGTAACTGTCTTCCAGTAACGTATGACCTCGGGTCAGCTGTAGAACTTTTTAGGCCTCTGCCTCAAGCTGATGTAGATTCTGTAGGCCCAAACCGATGGCTTGCTTTCAGTTTCTACAGCTTATGTTAGAGACCAGCTTAGGATTTAAAGAGGTTCTAGAAGAACAAACACCCTTTCTTGGTTGGCTTTGGCTTCTTCCCCCTGGCAAAGGGCCTGAGAAGACAAAGACTGGACCTCTCTTGAGCTACCCCCACCCCCGGCAAAGAACCTGGTAGGAAAGGACCTTCTACCACTACATCCTCACCAGGCTGAGCCTGAAAGGAACGGACCCTTCTAGAAAGTCTCTCCGAATATTTATCCTCTTCCCAAGCCCACATTGCTGCCATTAACCCCTCAGGGATTAGCCTCGGCAGGATGAATACTTATAACGAAATACGTTGTATCTTCTCATTCTATTTACTGGAGAACACTCAACAGTTGCAGGGATAAGCAAATCATGAGCTTGGGCTTAGAAGAAACCTAACGCCCCAGATATTATAACCAAGGCTCAGGGTGGCTCCAGCCCAGCTGCAAACAATTAGACTAAGGACACTCCAGTCACGACACACTTTACAATCTGATCGTCCAATCTACAATTACCTTCAGACTAGGCAAACCTATGTTATATGAGAAGCTTCCTAAACTATCCAATCAATGTCTCCAATCAGGCAGGCTGTTGCATTGCATAAGTGTTGGTGGATCTAAAGGGATATTGTATTATTATTATACAGGATTTATATGGCGCCAACAGTTTGCGCAGCGCTTTACAATATAAGGAAGACATTACAATCACAATACAATTCAAGACAAGATGGTAAGGAGGGCCCTGCCCCTGAGGGCTTACAATCTAAAAGTGAGGGGCTAGTGATACATGAGGAGGGAGCTGTGTGGGAATGAAGTGTTTTGAGAAAGTGATTGTTCAGCGGTTAGGTTGAGGTGGGATAGACTTCCCTGAACAGGTGAGTCTTAAGGGAACGCCTAAAGGCAGTCAAGGTTGGAGACAGACGGACAGGTTGGGTAAAGAGTTCTAAAGAATGGGGGAAGTCCTGGAGGGGAGCATGGGAGGAGTTGACAAGGGAGCTAGAGAGCAGGAGGTCTTTGGAAGATCGGAGGGGACGGTGAGGGTGATACTCTGAGAGGAGGTTGATGGCAGCTGCATTCATGATAGACTGAAGGGGGGGAGGAGCCTCTGTAGAGGTCGGCCAATGAGGAGGGAGTCGCAATAGTCAAGACGAGGGATAACAAGGGAGTGGATGAGTAGTTTTGCGGTCTCATTGGTGAGGAAGGGGCGTATTTTGGAGATGTTACAAAGGTGAAGACGGCAGGATTTGGATAGGGATTGGATGTGGGTCAATCGGATGTACAGTCAGATTGTAATGTGTGTGTTGAGCTTTATGGAAAGGGGTGCACATTGAAGGGGCAGTTCACTAGGAGCACCTCAGAAACCTACCCATCCTTCCGCCCTACTAGCCAGTACAGAGGACTCATTAAACCCATAGCAGTGTCCGTGTTCCCACAGATTGGAGGGAGATCCTATAACATGGAAGCCTATTGGAAGCAACTTCCTGTGCTGTGCTCTAAACAGTTACATTATTCCCAGCTATCTCTTTGGACCACAGAACACCTTTCCTCTGTGTTATGGAGGTAGGGAGAGGTGTTCTGTAGTCCCTTCCTTGGGTGCCAGCACTGCTTAGTCCTAAATACAGTACAGTGAGTGAGAGTTGTCACCGTAGAATAGGAAGTCTGGCAGGATCACTGGGTGAGAATAAACCTGAAAGAAAAGCAATGCAGCCGCCACATCTGAGGACGGGTTTTGCTGCAAAATTTCTCAAAACAAACACTTACCTAAAACTCTTAAAAGCATGAACTGTATTCCGATGGCCAGAGACTTGTCTTCCGGGTTCACACTCCTGTGGGGGGAGAGAAAAGCCGTAATATCAAGAGTAAGGAACATGGAAGCCGAACCCCAATGAACATGGCATCAGCTAGGTTACCTGAGTATGAGCATGAAGGACGGTGTCTGGGCAAGGCTGGCGAGGGCTCCGGCTAGAAAGGAGAACACCATGAATGGCAGGAAGAGGTTGTGGCATCCGGTCCCACATGTCCCCGGAGTCGCAGTTCCCCCAGAACCCTCCGCGGTGATACAGCGACACGTTGTGTAATTCTGTAACCAAGAACACATTTCTGTATGAGGACGCCATGTTGACACAGGCCGGGATCTGATGATCATAAATGTCTAAGCAACATACATAGTAATTAAATGACCATACTGTGCCTGGCACTGTGCAGCTACTTCGCCAACCTGCAGGTGAGCGTGTACACATATGACCAACCTATAGGGAGCTGTGTACTTATATGATCATCTTATAGGGAGCTATGTAGCCATGTGACCACCCTATAGGGAGCTATGTAGCCATGTGACCATCCTATATGGAGCTGTGTACTCACATGCCCATCCTATAGGGAGGTATGTAGCCATGTGACCATCCTATATGGAGATGTGTACTCACATGACCATCCTATGTGGGCGGCTATGTAGCCATGTGACCACCCTATATGGAGCTGTGACCATCCTGTGAAGAATGTAAAGGGAATATAGGCCTTGGCATGGGGTGAGGTGAAGGGAGTGTAGGCCTTGGGATGAGGGAAGAGGAAGGAAGTATAGGCCTTGGGATAGAGGTTAAAGTGGGGTGTGTAGGCCTTGAAATGAGGGTTGGGGTAGGGAGTGTAGGCCCTGCTATGAGGGGAATGGAGAGTGGTCCTTGGGATGTGGAGGATGGGAAGGGGGTGAAGTCCTTGGAATGGGGGTAAAGGAGTGTAGGACTTTGGATAGGAGAAGAAAAGGACGTGTATGCCTTGGGATAGGGGTTGGGTGGGGAGTGTAGGCCTTGAGAAAGGGGTTGGGGTACAGTGTAGGCCCTGGGATGGGGGAATTAGAATAGGGTGTAAGCCTTGGATTGGGGGTTGGTGTGGGAATTGTATGCCTTGGGATGAGGGGATGTGAAAAAAGTGTAGGCTTTGGGATTGGGGAATGGGGATTGATTGTAGGCCTTGGCATGGGAGAAAAAAAGAAAGTGTAGGTCTTGGGATAGAGGCTGGGGTGGGGAGTGTAGGCCATGAGCAGGGGGTTTGGGTTGAGTGTGTAGGACCTGGAATGGTGAAATGGGAATGGGGTGTAGGCCTTGGGATTTCGGGAGGGGAAGGGAGTGTAGGGCTTGGGATGGGGGAAAAGGAAAGAAGTGTAGGCGTTGTGATAGGGTGTTCGGAGTATGGAATGTAGGCCTTGGGATGGGGAAATGGGAAAAGAGTGTAGGCCTTGGGATGGGCTTTGGGGAAGGAAGTGTAGTCCTTAGGACGGGGGATTAGGAAGGGAGTGTAGACCATGGATAGGGGTTGGGGTGGGTATTGTAGGCCTTAGGATGGTGGTTGGGGTAAAGCATGTAGACCTCGGGATGGGGGCTGGGGTGCAGATTGTAGGCCTTGGGATGGGAGAATGGGGACGGGAGTGTAGACTATGGGAAAGGGTTGGGGTAGGGAGTGTAGTCGTTGTGACAGGGGTTGGGGTAAGGCGTGTAGGCCATGGGATGGGGGAATGGGGAAGGGAGTGTAGACCATGAGATAGGGGATGGGGTACAGAGCATAATCCTGGGGACAGGGGTTGCGGTAAGGCATGTAGGCCTCGAGATGGGGGCTGGGATGCAGATTGTAGGCCTTGGGATCCGGGAATGGGGAAGGGAGTGTAGACTATGGGATAGGGGTTGGGGTAGGGAGTGTAGTCCTGGGGACAGGGGTTGGGGTAAGGCATGTAGGATTCAGGATGGGCTTCATTTTACATAATATCACAGACTGGGTCTGATCGGAATCTCCAGCCCGGTAATTTATGGTTCTCATCCTGCGGCTGTGCCATCATTTCTCACATGAATTCCCTCTTCGATGGCCGGAGTATTATCTGCAAAGTCCTATTTATTTCTGATATTGACTCGCAGAGAGAGGGGAGAATTCGCAGTAATGGAAACCAAAATGACATTATAGAATTGGTTCTCCTTCACCAGCTTCCTCCTCGGCACAATCTCTGCGCTCCGTCATAAATGGAAGATGATCGATAATGAAAGTGCAGATCGCTCCGCCGGTAATGGAAGAAACATCCCGAATACGTAAATTACAGATTAAATGCTGGTTCTGGGTCAGGAAACGGAGATCTCCTCTGGTGGCAGCGTGAAGGGAACCGGTCACCGCTGGGTCTATGTGCACAGCTGAATCTTCATCATTGATATCATCACAACTATGACATCAGACGCATATTAAAGAGACCCTGTCAGGTCTCTAACCCTAACCCTAAGGAAATCAGATGGTCAGGTCACTGCAATAGAAGAGGTATCATACTCACCTCTCCGGTGCTCCGAGGATCCTACAGTCTGAGCCTCTGGTCAACTCTTCTGCATCCAACCAGAGGAGTAACTAGAAACCTCAGGGCCCCAGTGCAAGAAACCATGAAGGGCCCCCCCCC